ACTCTATCTAGGAGGCACAGTTTAGATGGATAGTTTTTATTTTTTACAATAACAAGCTGCAATGAAAACAAGAAATAATGAAACAAACGTAACAACTTTCTATTTCTTGTCTTTTTTAAAAATATAAGGAGTAGAAAGTAAAAAGTACGCTGAAAAATAATTACTCAAGTACAGATACCCAAAAACTCTACTTAAGTACAGTAAAGAAGTATTTGTACTTAGTTACTTTATAACTCTGCATAACATATATACATTTTGTAAGTCAGAACTCAGCTGGACAGTGGTAAAATGTACGAGTAAATTCAAACTTATGAGCAACTTACAAACTTAGAGCTGCTGTATTTGTCAGTATTTTGGGGTCCAGCTATCWATAGGGAACATAATGAGGAACCTGTGACGCCTGCTGGATCCAAGCAGTGCAGAGGTCCACAACCATCACCACAGAGATGGAGTGTCCTGCTGCAGCTTCCTGCATCATAGATTTGTTTCATTTCTTCAATCATCAATGAAAATGAATGAGTGTGGGTGCAGAGAGCTGGTTGTTTCAGCACATAAAACACTAACTTTGAGTGAGCGGTGAGTAGAAAACTCTAACAAGTTACAGGATTTAAAGAACACAACCTTCACAGCAAACAAACTGTCCTCAGGAACTATAAGGACAGCCTGAAMTCCAACCACTAAGTATTTTCTTTAAAAAGTCTTCTGTAACATTCCCTAACYGTTCCTACAAGCATATAACAAGTTAAAAGAGGTGTTAATGTTGAAGGGACTCACAGTGTGTGACACCAGCCAGGGTCTGGTAGAAGGTGGGTGTGTCGCTGTCGTCTGTCAGGGTGACACACACTCCTGCAGAGAGGAGCCATCGGGACAACGTGAAGGCCTCCTTGTTCTGCAGCAGCCAGTTCCTGAAGCGCTCATAGTTCACTTTGTCACTCTGCAGAAACACACGGAGGCAGACTCAATGAGTGTGTGGGCCCTCAGGGGCCAAACCAGCCTGCTGTAGCACCGCTTCACTTCCCTGGAGGGAGGAGGACTGTGCTGCAGAGGCACCAGCCCCGAGCCATCCCAAATCATAACCACTGTCTCAGAGCATTTGTGTCACGCCGCGTGAGTTAGTGGCAGTTTCTGCAAATATTTATCATCAAATAAAACCAAATAATAAAAACATATATGGAATTTATATCTTTAAAACTTCAAAGTACTCATACAAACTTATTTCTAGATGGAGAGATTATAACAAGTGATAAAACAGAGTTTATAAAATGGGTGTTTATGAACAGAACTTTGCTAAACAGTATATATATCTATCATATGACATCTCAATGTCAGACAAGCAATGAGCTCAATTAATAGCAAATAATGACTTCATCCTATAAATATTCTAAATGTGTTTATTAACTAAATGTGGCAAACAGTACAACCCAATATTATATGACTGTTCAGTCTCAGATGTGCAATGAGCTCAATTAATAGCAAATAATGACTTCATCCTATAAATATTCTAAATGTGTTTATTAACTAAATGTGGCAAACAGTACAACCCAATATTATATGACTGTTCAGTCTCAGATGTGCAATGAGCTCAATTAATAGCAAATAATGACTTCATCCTATAAATATTCTAAATGTGTTTATTAACTAAATGTGGCAAACAGTACAACCCAATATTATATGACTGTTNTTAATGATGGCAGACTTTACAGTTTAAGTTCAGTCATGTTCTCTGAGGGGACTGATATATATTTAACACATTAGCAGCTAGCAGCCTAAAGACTTGAACTCTTGTCACCCTTAAGACTCTAGAGACGAACAGGTCTGTGAGCAACATCAGTTAATCTATGATCCTTCTACAATTCATAAAAACATAATACAGATAATAACGAACGAAAAGGCAGACACATTTACTGTCTAACTCTCCTTGCATACACAACAGGTCACTGTAAGAATTGTTAAAACACAGCTTGTTTAAACTTAAGAGTTTTCACCAGCAAAACAGCATCACTAAAACATGAGCTTACAGTGGAGGGGCTCTGAAGGTCCGATACCCACCTAGAGGTGCGACTCTCTCAGAGTGGCAGCAGAAATACCATACCATTATCCAGAGAACATCCTTAGAGGAGTGCTGCCACAAGCTGCATGCAGCAAAGACCAACTACTGCCTCAAAAACCAGCTGTTCTACGTCATCCTGACCGCAGGGCTGTGTCCTGAGGATCTGAGCTCGGACCACGTTAGGTGTCCTGAGGATCTGAGCTCGGACCACGTTAGGTGTCCTGAGGATCTGAGCTCGGACCACGTTAGGTGTCCTGAGGATCTGAGCTCGGACCACGTTAGGTGT